TGATTTAAAGTTTTGGATCTGGTTCTAGATTTTTTAGCTGATTTAGAAAATCTTAATTTGATACTAGTATGTATTCAATTTTGGTATTTAATTAAATTTAAGATTATTTGTTATTGTTATCAATACAAAATTAAGACCACCATTTCAATAATTTTAGTAAACTTTTATTGATACTAAATTAGTAAAAATATCTTTTCAATAATTTCAAAAGTGGGTTCTTATCGCTATTATCTTTTTTTAATATTTTAGTAGTGGCTATTATATTTTGTTGCTATTGTTTTATAGAATAATTAAATATCACTAAGCAATTTCTAATCCTAATATATATATATCTTAGCCAGAAAAAAATAAAAAATAAAAAAAAAGCAAAAATCTAAAAATTAAATATAGATAATCTATCAGAAACCACGAATCATACTTCTGCAGCAAGTATAAGTTCAAATAATATAAATAAAAATAACTTGGATTGTATAGTCATACCAAAAATTAACTAGCAGAAAAAAAGACTATATACTAAAGGATTATATGGGCTGGCATCAATAGAAATAAGGCAGATTGACATTTTAAAAAAAATTAATACCTTAACTTTCATAACTCATATTTTAATGAATTTTGAAGCTATTTTGATAATTTAATATTCAAAAGAAAGCTTAGATTGTAAGCTTTCTTTTGACTATTAAAATATTAAAATAGACTTAAAATTCATCGAGATATGAGCTGTGAAAGATAAGGTATTAATTTTTTTTAAAATGTCAATCTGCCTTATTTCTATTAATGGTAGCCCATATACTGGTGAAGAACTATATACTGGTGAAGGACTATATACTAGTAAAAGATTATATACTAATGAAGAAGTTGGTAATTATGATGATATTGGTGATTATAAAGAAGTTGGCAACAATATATCAGAATTAAGCTCAGAAAAAGAAATGGTGTCTACTAGTTCTAATTACTCAGAACTGTCAATTAATAGATATAGAAGATATTCAAACAAAACAAAAAAGGAAAAAGGAAAAGCTACAGTGATGGCCACTATTTCATATTTTTAATTATAAAAATAATCTTCTGATCCTTTTCGAAACTGCAAGTTAAAAGCAGCACCAGTAACAAAGAATATATTTGATCTAATATATCACTGGAAACAAAAAAAAACAAGAATCTCTAAACATCATAACAAGACTAATTTGTCTCATTCAGTTGGTTCTAATAATGAACAAATTTTACCTGAACATCAAAAGGCTGATATACCAGATGTATCTGTTGATTAGTCACATAATATCATTACATACAAGAAAGTAATTAAAGCTGGTGGATCCTTACTTCATAGCCCTGCTTGAAAATAGTTTAAAGAAATATATATTAATAATGTCTGATATAGAGTATGTAATATTAAAATAATGGATAGAAAACCCTGTAATACAAAAGTAAAGACTAGCAAGTCAACAATAGCACTATGGAAGTATCTAAAGATTGTGCATGGATATTATGAAAATAAAAGACAAGTAAGCTTTTTTCAGTTAGAATTATTAAAATTTTACTATATAAATCTAACCTTTTTTTTAAGTCAAACAAAAAGCAGACAACTATTAAAAGAATGTTTGAAATTTTTTTGTCAAAACCATATAATACAACTGAACAGACTATTCATAACAAAGCATTACTGAGGTTATTGTCACACAAA